TTGACTGATTTGCTTCTTCAGTACACAATTTATCTATGAACCATTAAATCATTAATTCCTTATATTTTTGCTTTTTTCAAGTAGTTAACAACTAAAGTGCATTTTAAAGACTGGGTGATGCCAAGGCATAATTCATACCCTCTCGAGAAACTGAAATTGAACTGGAACGAGTCTACGGTTTTGCGAGAATTTTTTGGAAGAATACGAGATGTTACTTGGTGGTTTTAGTGGCTAGTTCGGTTGTGATTGATGGGCGAAGGAATGATATACCCTAATGCTTTGTCTTTGGTAATGCTGTTGAATTACAACAAAGTTCGGGATTTCATGTTAAAGTGACAGTGGGTTAAAAGGCAATGCAAAAGAAAAATTTTGAAATAACTGACAATAAAAGCCAACCGGATAAAGACTAGCTCGAGTGGTTAGTGCGGTGAAGCATGTGTCTTAGAGACATACTTAGATGGTGTGGCTGGTAACAGACCTCAGCACACTTTGACGTCTCATTGGCTATTCAGCTTTGGCTTAAGTAAGGAACTTGAAGCACTTGTGTATTTGGCTGCTGCTGGCATCGCCAGTCAAGTTCTACTGGCTGCCAATAATTGGAGGTTCGTCGATGGCACAGGTTGCTTGATTTAGCATTCAGCCCTAACTCAGCTGCACCGGACAGTCAGTCAGTCTGTATGCATAAATGTGGCTTGTGATTTACCGATTAGCTATACTTTGGTTCCTCTCAAGTCAGCAGAAAGTACTAAAGCAATAGGAGAGTTCTTTTATGCAGAGGCGGTAAATTAGGTGCGCACTAACCTCTTGCTTGAGAGGGATTAGTATCAACGTGTTGAAGCTTAGACTTCGTTGACTTAGAATCGTGGTGTGCGTCAGCTTCTGGCTTTGGATTCAATGTGCCATGTCTAGATAACTGCTCCTCATTTCTATTTTCTTTATCTTCTTCGTCCGTATATGGAATCTTCACTCAAAGAATAGCAACTGGTTGTCAAGATTCGTAAACGGCAGTGATAGGTTCCATTGATTAAAGAGGTTTAAAACAGTAAATCAAACTAACCACTTGTGCTTTAGTTGAAGCGCTCTAAGAAACAACGATTTGACAAAGTATACATATATATATATGCGGGCCCAAACTTGACTTTTCATTAAGCCATGAGCCATTTGAAATGCAATTTGTTGGAATGTATGTCATGAAGAATGCCAATCAGCAAGACTGCACTCATTTGCGGCTAAGCGGCAACTCTCAGAGATGTCTTATTGGGGAATTTTATGAGCATCCTCTACAAAAGTTAGTGAATTGGAAAAGGTTTTCTTTTTTTATTTTATCGCAATTAAAAATATGCTTTGATAAAGGCGAATGCCGTCTTTCACCCTCCTGTTATCAGCAGTACGAGCACTACTTTTCCATCCCTCTAATCCTTAAATAGTTGTAAAGTAGAAGGTTGTAGTAAAAAATGTACAACTTTGAGTCCCTTTGACCCAAAACTGAGCCAATCTACTAAAAAATCTTAAATCAGCTTTGCATTGAGACCTTATTCAGTGAACATTCACCCCATCAAACTTACAAGTCTCGGTTCCTTATGGGTGAAATAGTCATCGAATTTGGTTCAAAGGGGTAAAGATCTCCAATTCAAGGATTGGATACCAAAACTAAACTTTGGTGAGGAAAGCATTTACCACGAATAACAGGGTCTGCGAGAACTCGCAACAGGAGGCTTACCAAATCACCTACACCTCTGGTTATGCCCTCATTTTCTGAGGCTCTTCAGACACCTTTGCCAGTAAATTAGTGGAAGATTTAATACGAATTGTTCCAGTAGGTTGCCTGTCAGTCTGGGGTCCTAGCATTAAAAATAATGCGACCGATGATAATGCAATCCATTCCAAGGCTATACTCACAGCGCCTGGTAGATAGGATGTAAATAACTTTACAAAGAAGGGACAACTGCTGAAACACGTACATCGTAAGAATTCTTTGCACCTCAGAACCCCCTCTGCAATTTTTTGATGAAATAGGTGTCCTAGTCTTTTGCTGCTCCAACGTCCAACTCACTCAGCACCAACT